CTTGATGGTGGGTGGGACTCATATCCAGGTGGTAACAAACAACAACGACCATGGAATTAGAGTTTTTCTTTTGATTATTATTTTTATTAATATGAATAATTGTTTTTATCAATTACTCATTGTCCATTCTTTAGTATGTGCATTCTTGCACATTCATCCTTATCTACATAGATGACACTATTGTAATTGGAGTTGAAGTCAGCCCCCCACAATGTCCCACAGCACATCCCCAGTGTATTGGAAACATCTCCCAATGATAGGTACCAAAAATGATGAGGCATTATCAGGAGATGTTCTCAATACACAATGGGGATGTGTTGTGGGAAATTGTGGGGGGGGCTAATTTGAACTCTTGTAATTGGTTCTTATGAATCCTACATCATTGATTTACTCCACCATATGGTTCGCTAAGGACCTAGTAATGCAGTGTGACAGCATTGGTGCCACCTAATTTAGCCATATTGCCATTATGTGGATTACTTTTCTCCTTATTAAACTAGGTGTCTCTTCTTATTCACCTTGGTGATGTTGTGTGACAGCATTAGTGCCACCTACCTCAATGCCAACTCCATTTTTCATTCACGCTTTACACATATTGAGTTGGGCATCCATTTTATCCACGATCTATAGTTGCCATAAGTTGTAATTGCAATTTTTGTCTTTCAAGGATCAACTAGATAATGTTATGACCAAGCCATTGGGCTCTCACTTTTCTTCTCTATATGGCAATCTGTGTGGCCTATCCTCGTTCTATGGGGGATGTTAAGGCACACATACAAAGGGGGTGGGGGTGGGGGGTCGGGTTTTGCTCTACCATGCCTTAGTCATTACTACATGCAAATCTTTTCTTTTTTGAAACCTACCTAGAAATATATTATATTTTGTAATATATGTATGTGTGTGTGTCTATATATATATATATAGATAGATAGATAGATAGATAGATAGATAGATAGATAGATACACACACAAGTATTTGTATACGTGCTTTGCATATGACAAATTTGGTGAGGATGATAGTATATAATATATTTCCAAAATTTTTTTACATTTTTTTTATATTTCTACATCTATAAAAAGTATTCTTATCTATCATGTTTATTATGGTTCATTAACATAAAGATATGTCCAAATAAAATTCTTGCAAGGGTAACGAGAATTAATGAAATCCTTATTGTTCTTATTTATTATGGTTCATTAATAAAATTAATAATTTTTATCAATTACCTTCATCAGAATTTTATTTGAATTCTCTTTACCCTTGTAAGAATTAACTTCTATATGATAAATCCAACTTCAGCTCCTTCAACCGCTAAAACCTTACAATGAACTGCAATAAAAAGTATCACTTACTCTTACAGATATCTTGACATCCAATGATGTGGGCTTTAAGGTAATGGAAATGAAAAATTAACCCACCATATAGTGGGAATAAATAAGAGAAAACCATATGCTACCTTAATGATCAAGAACTAGACCAATGAAAATAGGTTTAAAATATTTTAAAAAATAAGAAAATAGTTTAACAAATAAATTGCTCATCCATTTGCAAGTTGGAAATCTCTTCGTTGTGGTTAATGTGACCCTACATTGGTTATTGAGAACATGTGATGTACTTTCAAGTTTCTTTTAATTTAAATAAATGAAAGGGTAATTGTTAAAACCTCTTGTAAAATTTTTAATCATTGCCGAACCCCCCCCCCCCCCCCCCCCCCTAAAGTTTGGTAAAAGCAATGAACTTTTTGACATAGCTACAAGTAGACGCTCTATTAGAATCTTCTAACAAAAAGCACAAAAATATTGAAAATATTCATGTAATTACTTTTGACCAAAATATTTATTTTCCAAATTTTTCCTTCATATCAATCACTACCCCAATCCCTTCATATCAATTACTACCGAATTAATTACAAAGCCACATCCTTCATAAATGTTTAGATAGCATAGGTTTTGTTCTTATGTTGCTTGATTGACCATCTTTTGAGGGTTGGATTCCTTGTTTTTTTTGCATAAGCCCTTTTGTATTTTTTGCTCTCTCTCTCTCTCTCTCTCTCTCTCTTATTTTGGCAAAATTTCCTTTATTAGCAAAGAAAAAAAAGCTACTCACAACCTCTTTTTGTAATTAATTCGGTATATATAATCATTTTTTAAAACTAATTACTTGAGTATTACAAGCACCTTTAGGATAAATTCAGCATAAAGGCATGGCTTTTCACAAAAAGAAAAAAAAATCTTGTACCCTTATAATATTGAATAGTTTACCTAATATATTAATAATCTTTATCAAGTGTTTATTAAATATTAATTAAGGATTAGAAAATATGTCTTAACCCACAATCCCTTGTCATGAACAATATTTGTATTAGTTTTAAATGTGTATTTTATTTATATCATCAATAAAAACATTTATTCTTTGTCACACTTATTTTTCATTAACGTGGTTAGTTAATATAGGTTTTAATGAAAGAATGAGAGTTATACCATAAATATAAAACTTAATGAGAGGGAATTGAGTGAGAAGAAATAAGGTAGTTCAAATTACACTTTGTTCCCTCACAATAGAGGAATCAAATTCAAAAAGGATAAATTGCTAAAACCTCCCCTGAATTTTTTGGTCATTGTCGAAACCTCCCTTGAAGTTTGGAAATTGCAATCACTTCCCCTGAACTTTCTGACGCAATTGCAAGTAGACTTCTTTATTAGAATCCTCAAACAAGAGGCACAAAAATGTTGAAAATACCCATGCAGATACTTTTGACCAAAATGTTGATTTTCCAATTTTTTTCTTCACATCAATCACTACCCAAGCCTCTCCAGTCTCTCTTCTGAAATTGATTTATATTCCAAAATTTCCCTTCATATCAATCGCTCAAAGGTAAAACTACAATTTAAACTATATTTTCTTTGTTGTTTATAAAGTTTCTATCAAGGTTTTAAAAACCGACCCAGAATTAGTACTATTTTGGCCACCGATTTCCAAGTTGATAGTTTGATTGTTCAATTGAAACTGACAACCCATTCAAACTTAAAAAATAAAAAATAATTAAAATAATTAAGATAAAAAACATCCATTGAATGAGTCAAATGAGTTAACAATTCGACCAACCGGGTCAACGGGTTGCTGACCAAATGAATGGTTTTTGGTCAAGGACTAGGTTAAAGGTGAAACGAAACTAGTTGCCTTGATGGTTCCCAAACTTAACAATCCAATCATCTAAGTCAACAACAGTTCAAAAACACCTATTTGTATTATTTTCTGTAGAAATCAACCTTAGTAGTAACTACATAGGTATTTTGGACATTTTTGTACTTCTTATTAGAGGATTTTAACAGAGGGGGTCTACTTACAAATCTATCAGAAAGTTCAAGGGAGGTGATTGGAATTGCCAAATTTAAGGGGAGGTTTTCAACTAGGGGTGAGCATGGGTCGGTTCAGTTCAATTCCATGGCAGAACCTGGAACCTACCCTATAGGATGTGGTTCTAGGTTTTGGAACCAGAACATGCCCTATGAAGGTCGGTTCTGGCCTTGGTGGTTCCGGGGTCAGTTCTAGGGTTTACCCATGGAACTTGTTCTTTGTTTACTCTCACCCTTGAAAAAAAAAAACCATGTTTCTTAAAAAACTTGATTTTCAATAAATATGATATATATAGTTTAAAACTTATATTATCTTTTATTTATTAAATTGAGTAAGTTAACATGTAGATTATCACTATATGGTTCAAAACTTATAATTTGAATTTAAATTTTGTAAATATTACCTTTTAGATTACTTATAATACACGTTCAAATATTAACAAAAAAACAAATGATTAAATCACTTAAAGTAACTCAATGGTCAAGTGAGACTATGGCCTTTGTAACCATGAGTGCTTGGGTTCAAATCATTACATCTCCAAAAGTATTTTGGGGTTTAGATCAAGGCAAGTCCTATTCCAAAGTAGGTTCCACTAAGGTCGGTTCCACTAAGGCCAACCAAGGTCAATTTATCGGGTCAGTTCGAGCAAGGTAAACCCTAGGCCCCTGGAACCAACCTGGGTGGGGGTCGGTTCCAAGAATTTAGAACTAGACCCTACCTTGTAACAGACCAGGTAGGGCCAGTTCAAGGCCGGTTCAAGGTCGGGGCCCTTCGGTTCTAGGTAGAACATAACTATTTGCTCACCTTAATTTTCAACTACATTTAGGGTCCATTTGGTTTGCTAGAATAGGGGTTTGGAATCGGAATTGGAATGGGTTATTCCGATTCCAATTGTTTGGTTGGGCGGAATCGGAATCCCATTCCCATTCTTACTAGAATGGCATTCCCCTATTTGAGGGAATGGTCATTCCTTGCCCCTCCCTTGGGAATGAAATCACATTCCTGCTGATTTTAATTCCCATTTTCATTCCTGTCTGAACCAAACAGACTATGGGAATGGACCATTCTGATTCCGATTCCGATTCCGACTACGAACCAAACGGACCCTTAGAAAATTCAGGAGAAGTTTTAGAAATTTATCCATTAAAAAATGGGGGTATTCTAGTTAAGAATAGGATTCAATGAATGTTAATGGGAGTTTACAACTTAAATATAACACTTAATGAAAGGGATTTGAATAAAAAGAAAATTGATTGTTCAAATTACAGTTTTTCCTTAAAATGTCAAATTCAAAACACTAGTTAATATGAATGGTTTTGGATTTTAAATAAAAATAAGGGAAAATTCCTGATAGGTACTTTGTACTTTAGGCTGAGTGCCAATTTAGTACCCGAACTTTCAAAATGCGACAATTTAGTACCTATCGTTAACCAGCCGTTAAGTATTATGGTAAAAGACACAAATGCCCTTCAGGTATCATCTAATTTTCTTTACCATCCATCAGCAACAACTGTGTAAGAAATGCCCTTCCAGATTTTTCCATCGAAGACTGATGAGTGCTGAGATGCGTTTAACTCAAAGACTGATGACTCAATGTTTCTCATTGCCCTAAACTACTGTTCACCGCCACTGGTCATCCTCTTCAAGCTCTCGAACAGCGGCGGTGCATAGCGCTCCCCATGGCCATTATTCTTTCTTTTTTTCTCCTCTCTCTATGGGAACAGTTGTCGTTTTGCCATTTTATACCCACATGGTTCTGGCACCTAAAGCTGGTATTGATGGAGAAGTTAGCATGAACTTTGGAAACCTCTGCACTGTCAACTTTAAAGCCTTTCAGTCTAGCCTTCTCAATAAGCTCCCCTGCTGAAGCTCCCTTGCCAGGAGGATTTCTGAACACCGATCCAGTAGTTCGTTCCCGCACAGACTGAGACCATCGCCTCCTATAAATAAAACCATATCCCATTGGCATCTCTGAGGAGAACAATGAAGAATTTAAGAAGCAAATTTTGAAATCTTGTTACTTTCTCAGGTATGCTTGTTGACGCTCATTGGCTAATGCTGAAGGCAATAGACGAAATGTTACAGACACAATTGCTGCCAAATCTTGCATCGCTTGAAAGGGTGACATGCGGTACCCAAACGCGAGATCACTTCTGTACAAAATTTGATGCCTCCCATCCACTGTAATGATCTCAACTGTATCAATGGCATCGACATTTTCCTATATAATAAAGATATAAAAGATTATAGACCCTCACTGGTGTGGTCTCTTGACAAACAATTCCACGCAGGTCGGAGCAGGATTACCTGTCCATTGGCTCCAACGTCCATGTAAGCAGCTCCACCTATGGTTCCATCCTCTCTAGAAGTCAATCCGGTTCAGAATAACACAACCTTCAAACCCAGAATCATCGAAAATGACGATTATAAAAGGGATCCAGCGCTCACAACAATATCTGACATTTAGCCTATGGTCAGAACTATTGAGAGCTTGGACTCTATTTCAAGAAGATGAACAATGTGCTTATTTTTAAGGGTAATTTTAACATTTTTGAAAGTCTTAAATCGTACATGAGGTCACGTGATATACATAACTGACGGTTCCATAACGGTAGGTATTAAATTGTCGCATTTTGAAAGTTCGGGTATTAGATTGTCACGTTTTAAAGTTCAAGTACTAAATTGGCATTCAAGCTAAAGTACAAGGTACCTATCAAGAATTTTCCCAAAAAATAATTACTACATTTGCTGAAATAGAACTTACACTAATAGCTGCCATGCCAGCAAAATATATTATTTTTTGCTAAAATGGCAGCTACTTTTATTTTAGAAAACAAAACCATTCACATTGACAAAACACCAAATAGATAAAACAAAGGGTCATTTATTTAGAGACCTTCTGCTGCTTCACAATTTTATTAAAACCTACCCTCTATTTTTTAATGCAAGTACCTACCCTCTAGTTTGTGTATTACTACTCCATGCTTTATAATCAGATGCCCTCTTAAAACAAGTGGAAAATGTGAAATTGTATGGATCCAAGGTTATTTTTGGCAGATCTCATATCATGCGTACTTCTTGCTTATCAAACCAAGTTATAATTGGAAGATCTGGATCACATCCTCAAGAACTACCAATTTACGATACAAATTTGGAGCCTAATGGAAATCACTACCAGATTCCCCATGGAAAATAATGAATCCATCACCAATTGGTGGTATAGGGCCGAGGAAGAGTGAATACACCTAATTCAAAACAAGTTCTGGGAAAGAACTGCTTTTCCATGTTGGCACATAAGGCAATAAACCGAATCAAAACAATAGCCTCAATCCAGGGCAGTTAATAGAAAAAGCAGCAAGGGCTTTCCTGGAATACAATAGCTTTAACATGAAAACCTTGAATTTGGATTAGCTGAGTGCTTTAGCTGTTCACCGGACTGTGGAATTAATGATGAGGTTTTATGTCAGTAATAAATTCATGGCACTCTATATATTTAATACTGACATAAAACCTTATCATTGGTTACACAACTCGTTGAACAGCTAAAGCGTTCAACTAAACTTTGCTCGAAAACTTCAGAAAGTGAACATGCGAAACCAAGGGCATGGGTTAAATAGAACCTGTGTCAGGAAGTAACAATTAAAACCAATTGTGATGCCTCAAGAAGAAGCAATGTGATATGCTCGATTGGATGTATAGCCAGGGATCACGGAGGCAGAACCATTCGGGCATAAACAGGTCCAATTGGAGCCACCTCCATCAGCGCAGCCAAGTCTAGCCTCTCTGGAACCCCACAGGCAGGGGTGTTGTCAGGAAACTTTTTTAAGGGGGGCCAAAACTTAAATGAAGGTATGGATGGACCCATAAGGGGGGCCAAACATTGAGGTAGAGAGTGGGGGAGGAAAAAACTTACATAGAAAGTTGTAATATAGTTGAGATTTTCTGAACCACAGGGGGGACCATGGCTCCTTCCCTGCCCACAGGGTTGCAGTGCGCACAACTTTCTAGCAACAGGATTTGGATCGAAGGTGATTTCAAGCTAATCATTGACAGCCTCCTCAACAGCTCACCTCCCACCATAGAAGTTCTTGACAGTAGCCATTGAAAGAGTGCCTCAGCATCAGAGAAGATAGATCTCTCTGGATTGCGCACTCCCATACTTGAAGAGAGGGAAATCAAGCAGCAGATTGGTTAACTAAGCTAGTAGCTCCCACGAGTTCTCCTCAGAGTTACCTTGGAGAAACTAGGTATATTCTTGGAATAAAAACTGGGAAGTATGCCATTTCAGAACCTTCTGTTCATTTTAATTAAGAGATCATCTAACCATTTGTAGATGGAAATACAAATGATTATTCCTTATAAAAGATTGATCAAGTGAAGTGGTTGCAACCTATAAGGATTGTTTTAATAATACACAAACTAAAAGATAGTTTTCAATAAATATATCGAACTATAGGAGGAGTGTCTAAGTAAATAACCCTAAAATAAATAACATTTTGGGTAGATTCATCAATTGCTTATATCTATAATCAATAAACAATTATCTGTCATTTATCTCTAATTCATCACCACTGCAATATAATATACAGTTGCTAGGAGTTCATAGAACTTATTTTGGAAACAACATGGCATGTGCTTGTCACGGGTTACAGTGGTTTATGCGCATGAAATAGGATTCTGGACATACGACTGGCACGTGGAGACACGTGCTTTCTAATGTAAGCAAAGGCAAGGTAGAGGAATGATTAAAAATAACCTGAAATTCAAACATCACCTTGCACAATCAAGCTATGGAATTAAGTATTAAATGGTTATTCATTTCTAATCATGTTTTTTTATATGCATGGTTACAGTAATACAAGGTATTCTTTCCTCTATGTAGACTTTGTAATTAGGAATACAACTTAACCAAGTCCGAAATAGTTCAGATGGAGATGGGTCGGGTAGGGTCGGGTTAGGATTATGGTTAGGGGTTCAGCACTTCAGAAATAAAAGTAATAGTCACAAAATAATCTGACTGACTTTCACCCCTATTTGTATTATGGGCCAGCATATAAAATAATAGCCACAAGATAATGTAATTGTCCTGTATCTTCCCATGTACAGAAATAAAAGTAGTCTTTTTTAGCCACATATGAAGTGGGGCTATTTATCTGAAACTTGCCATGAGGAATGGGAGTTATGGGAATCTTGTATGAACATGATTCTGATCTTATTTTTGTCTAAACAGGTTGATCTCAATTAGCAAGATTTTAGGTTTCAGCTGAAATTTCATCCATTTTGGGCCCAATATCTGAAATAAAATTTCAAAAAATTTGGAATTTTGAGAGACTATTTTTTTCACATTTTTGAGAAAATTTTCTTTGGTTAATTATCATAACTGGAAAAAAAAAACCAAAATGCTAAGCCATGGGCCTTAGAAATATGGATTAATATTATTATATTTATATATGGTCTATGCTTCATAAGCTGGATGCTTTGCTTATTCGGCCAATTCAATCAGAAACTTCAAAAATTTTTTACACACTTCATAGATGGTTTAATTTTATCATAAATTAAACCAATACAGATGATAGTTTAACCAGGGTATGATATAGTACCCTTATCAATTAGTCACTTATTCTTATTATTCTGAAGTGTTTGATAAAATTTTGTTGATTAAGACTCCAAATTACTCTTTCATCATGACCCATATTTGATATAAAAAAAAGAGAGGCATTTTCGTCACTGCTTCAGTCTTAAGATACTAGTTTATTTGGACATATATATACAATTAAATGGGATTAGGGAGGAATGATTGACTGTTTTGATTTAACAAAAACACATTATCGTTTTCTTGATACACCAATTAAACCAATACAATAAAAGAAGTCAGATTTCTTTTATTTTTTTTAATACTTATTCTCTCCTGATCATCTCCACCATTAGAGCTAGAATGTGAATAGATTAGATGGTTGATCGGAGGCGGAGGCTATATATATATGCTCGTCTTGAGTCTTAATTTCCTGTCAAACTGTGATAACTCAAGCAGTTAGCCCGAAGTCCCAATCATGTTATCACTTTCTCCTCAGTTTTCAATCCTTGGGTGGCCATCAGAAGCTGATACAAGCCCTGAACAGAAGAGCTGGATGAGCGACAACCCTTTTGTGAATTGCAACTTCAGAGAAAAACAAGCTTCAGAATCATTCTTTCTCTTTACTTCGTCTCGACCAGAAGCTGAGTGCAATGAGTTCAAGTCTTGTGGAACAACTAGCAGGGATCCTGCAATGGTTAAGAAATTGAATCACAATGCTAGTGAACGTGACCGTCGGAAGAAAATGAACAGTCTCTACTCCTCCCTCCGCTCGCTTCTTCCAGAGACTGACCAAACGGTATTGACATAATTAACACTTCATTAATTTTTGGTTATGTTTATAGCTAGATGTGTAGTTGTAACGATTTTAATTGGGTCAACTGCGAATGCAGACGAAACAAAGCATTCCGGCCACTGTTTCTCGAGTACTGAAATACATTCCAGAGCTCCAGAAGAGAGTCGAGAGGCTGAAACAAAGGAAACAAGAGATATTATCAAGTATTACTAGACATAGAGATCACAACCATCAGGAGAAGAGAAGAAAAGCCACGGTTCAGACGTCTTCGCCTACTGTTTCGGCGAGTCGCGCCGGTGATGGGGAAATTGTGATTCAAATTTGTGCAGTTAAGGTCAAGAAAAGCCCACTCTCTGAGGTTTTGCTTCATTTGGAGCAAGAGGGTCTTCAGGTCTTGAATGCTTCAGCTTTTGCCACATTTGGGGAAACGGCCTTCTACAATCTTCATCTTCAGGTTCTACTTCTCTATTTTGTTCATCCCTTCTTTTTACCCATTTTTGCTTCTTCAGTCTTATTTTCAAACAAAATTTTTTGCTATTCTAGTTTTGTTCAAAATGGGAAAGAAAAATGAATGCAAAATATATTGCTAAGACTTCAGAGTGCAATTAGTTCGGATGCCCATGAACCCATCTGCACTATAATTGGATTGTTTCAACTATTTGATCAACCGACTTCTCCATATATTTTAGGGGTTAGCTCGAGAAGTTTCTCTTTGCTATTTATTTTTTTTTTTTTCCGAGAAAAGGCCCAAGGATGCAACTCTTCTAAACTCTTTGTTTCCTTTGTGGAATTTGGTCGAACAGGTGAGAGAAAGCCAAGGAGTGGAGTGTGAGGTATTGAGTCAGAAGCTAATGTCAATGTATCACAGCCGGGAAGAGTAGTTTTTTAATTTTGTATTTTGCTTTCACTGTATATATTTTAAAACAGGGGAGTGGTTGTAATCAAGCCAAAGTACTTATGGAAAAGACAAATAATGATCACCACTTTGAGGATCCAACAACATTTCATGTTTGGAATTTATAAATTGGAATAAATTCCAGTACTATCTAGGGAATATATGTTGATTATTTAATCAATGACTTCATTTTCAAAATCTAATTAGTTTTAATTTAATTATCTTTTCATGCTCATGCTAGGGCCTGAAAAGAACAGAATGACCAAAAAGGAGTCATGTAGCAAACCCATATAGTTGGGACAAAGGCTTAGATAATTATGATGATGAAGAATTAATCGTAACTTAATTAGTCATAAGGGATTTATAATGAATCTGTTAGTTCTCCCATAAAAAAATTATTAATATTCTTTTCTACGTAATATAAAAAAAATGATTCAACAAAGTGCAATAAGCAACGATTTAAGCATCCATAGTTTAGTAATGAATATAACAATAGAACGAAATGATAAAAACAGGATACATGTAGCCAACCCTGATATAGATGGGACAAGGTTTAGATGATGATGACGATGAAACTCAATAAAGCATAATCCTAATCATAAATTTAGAATCTGAATACACAATTAACATTTAGAAGTTGGGTTAGATTTAGGGTAAAAACCGGATTGGATTCAGATTGGATCCAGCTACATCCAAGTTCAATCTGATTATTAGAAAACCAAATTCAAATCCAATCCAAAATTCAATGTCTATGATCATATTGGGATCCTATGGGGTAGTTCTTTTCACTATCTTTCAAATTATAAGGTGTATATCTTTATTTATTTATTTATCCATTTAGGTAAATGAACCACCGAATATGAAATATCAGATCAGGCCTTGGAATTTTAAGAATCTATTGACAGCTTAAGTTAAGCTGGGTTTACATTTCTTGATCGGCCCAACCCATGTTGCGTCCTAATAATTGGCATTTCCTGCTAAGTGCTAACTTATGTAGGCCTATAATTGGATCAGGTTTGGGCCAGGTCCGAGTTTCCTAATACAGTAATACCCAACAAAGAAGAAACTACAGTACCCGGCCCAGATATTTTAGTAGCAGTCTAGCAGATACAGAGAGAGCTGATTCTCTTATTAATCGGCCCAGACTTATTCTCTTTTTAAGGCCCAATTAAAACTAGTCAAAAGTCAAAAATCTGTAACATTATGAACTCATTTAGAACCAGATCAGTAATAACATGCAAATGTCAATTTTGCATAATTAAAACTAGCAAAAACATCATGCTTGCAATTTTGGTTAGTCATGGATTGACAAATTTGGGATTCGACATCAATTTGGATCCATCAGGTCCATATCATGTCCCTTAACCCGTACCAATCCATAGAGGAAGGAAATGAGGGATTTAATGGAAAAGAGAGACTTTACAAATATTAACTATTGGAGAGAGAGAAACCAATGCAAGGATTGTAAAGGTTTTCCTACCTTTTCTTTCCTTTTCCTATATTTTCCTTCAAACCAAACATAGCCTTATATCTTCTGTCAAAGTGTAAGTATATAGATCTTCAACATACTACCTCAACCCATATGATTCCGATCCTTCCCTAACTCTTTTGGAACTTTCAATTTATAATCAGATCATTCCTCACTAATAGCTTATTTTCTAGCCACTTCGGTGCATTGTATTCTCTAATCTCTAGAAAAAATTCTAAGAACACTTGTAATTCACTAATTTGTAAACTTTCAACTATCAGATTCAGCGTTTCTGCATTTCGTCACACGTATCCTCTTCATATAATATATGATATTTTTATATTATATTTATATGATTTTTTTTATAAAATACATTATAGAATTACGTTTTATATTGTAGTATTATTACATTTCTACCCATTGATAATAGATAGAGCGAAATTTTTAGTTTTACTTAATACTCTACCCATTTCATGGTGTTATCATGGAACACTACAAAACTGTAGGGTGGCGTTTGATAAATCTGAAATCCAAAAAGTTAAAAAGATATTAAAAGTGTCTGAAATATGAAAAGAGATATAGTTGCTTTACGACTTTTTAGAGGCTCTGAATAAAGAAAGTTGTTTGTGTTGGATCAAACTTTCGGTATCTGAAATTTACTGATTTTACTATTTTACCACTAAATTAGACTTTTTGGTAATTTTGAGTTCAATTTGTACTATTTCATAAAAATAATTTATTAAATTCAAAATAATATTGAAAATTATAAATAAATTATGAAAATATAAAATATTAAAATAAGAAAAATTGAAAATACATATAAATTTATAAATTAAAAATAATTTAGTAAAAGTTGAAATAATAATGAAAATAGTAATAAAATCCACAAAGCAATGGAAAAATATTTAATAATTAGAAAAATAATATCTTAAAACTTATATATTTAATAATTAATAAATGTTAAAATAATTAATACAAATAAAATCTATTCAATGGAGAAGAAAGATGAATACAATAAAAAATGTAACTGCAACAACAATTAAGAGGGATTCTCAGTAGTCGTCAGTACTCCCTCAAACTACTATCGTTAGACTTGAATGCAACGATTCCGGTTTTGCCTGTCCATGATCCCACATCATCTTCGCTATTGAGAGTTGTAGCAGCTGTCGAGAGTTGCAACGGTTGTCGAGAGACTGCTGCTGTATAGAGTTGCAGTGGCTGTCAAGAGTTGCAGTGGTGAGAGATTGCCGTTATTGAGAGTTGCAATGGTTGTCAAGAGTTACAGTGGTGAGAGATTGCCATTGTTGAGAGTTACAGTAGCTGTCAAGAGTTGTAGCGGCAAGAGATTGACGCTGTTGAGAGTTACAACGGCTGTCGAGACTTGCAATAGCAAGAGATTGTCGTTGTTAAGAGTCACAGTAGTGATCGAAAATGAAAAACAGAGGATGGAAGCCACGGGTCCTCAAAAGAAGAAGAAGAAAGAAAGAAGAGAGAGAGAGAGAGAGAGAGAGAGAGAGAGAGAGAAGGTTGGAGGAATCACTCACCACTGTTAGTTTGTCGAAGGAGTCACTTGCCGCCACTAGTTTATTGGAGAAACGCAAGCATTTCTTTAATTAAAGGGTATTTTGGACTTTTGGCCATGTCTGGAACGCATATGAATGCATTCAATGCCTGGCCTGGGTCTTATTATTTCAAATCTAGAAATAATTTTTAAACATAAATTTAGATATACTACCAAACACCTCTAGCGTCTGAAAAGAAACATTTTTAGGCTTCAAAGGTTTGAAAAGTGTTATCAAATGCCACCTAAATGTTATAATTTTAGCATTGTAATGCTGCATGGTGTAGTAAACGGAACATCTCAACCCAATCCAATTAATGAAAACTGAAGTCCAATTAAATTTCAAGATCTTGGATCAAATTCGGATTTAAATTCAATCGGAGTCTAATTAATGTAGCATCCTCACACTTTCCTAGCAGTTCAAACCACTTCCATAGCCTGTATGCCCCACATCCAGTGAAATGTGGGGTGCGAAATGAATGCAACCATTACAGTTTCAGTGCTCATAAATTTCCCAAAACTATAATATAATGATTGTTAGTATTAATCTATACTATATATAAAAGTGTGAATGCAATGTGAAACTTTTTTGGACTAAAATTACCCTCTACTTCTTTGTTTGATAAAGGGTATAAAAGCCATTTCATTACAACTTTAATGGCTACTAAAATCCCATAATTGTGTATTTAGTCCATCTCTAATGGTAAGGTTGAAAATATAACTTCAATTAATTATTACTTCCCACCTTATTAAATCTCATTTTCTATTATTAAATGAGATATGTGTCAATATTTTTAACAATATAAGCCCATATATTTTAAAACTAACTCAAAAATAAACCATTTTTAATCCAAGTGGTGGCTAAACAATTCAACCATACGGATCAAATTGATCAACCTATGAAGTCATAATTAGGTAATAAAATTTTTAAAATAGAAATAAATATAGAAGCTTATAAAAATTGTAGAAAAATTAGACACGGCTATAATATTTTTATTAATCAAATTAAAAAAATAAGTGTAATAAACAAGAATTTTTTATTGGCAATGAAAATGAAATACATAATTTAGAAGTGGCCAAAAATGAATTTTACTGTTTGGAAAAGATCAATAGTTCAAATTTTTGGTCAAACATGTTAACCTTTAATGTTATAAATAAATAATAAAATTTAATAAAATATAAATATACAAAAATAAAAAGCACATAAATTTTGCAAAAAAAAATATTTAGGCACATGCATAATACTATATATTTATCATATTAAACAAAAAGTAATTAATATGACATACTAGAATTATTTTTCCACACAAAAATACAAAAAAGTTATAGAAAAATTAAACACATCTATAATTATATATTTACACTACTATTGTGGAACTTTCTTTTGACTAAAGTACTCATTTTTGAATTTAGTCTCTACTTAATTATGAGGTTTAAATTGCAAATTGAACTACTATTGTTCACTCCATTCAAATTTCTCTATTTAAATCTTACATTTTTTTTTTTATAAATGAACAAAGAAAAAGATATACCAAAATGATTAAATATTATAAAAAAAAAGAATCTTGCCAAGCAAGTAGACTTATCAATGATACTTAAAATTTCACAACTCAATCCAATTATCACATATTTGTATGAAGTGTTTATGTAAGCAGATTTGGATTTTCAATCTGCATCCAATTAATAATAAAAAGCATAAATATATATAAAAAATAAAAAATAAAAATACATAAATTTTACAGAAAAAATAATATAATACCATTATCATTATCACCGTCTAGAATTACCATTATCATTATCATTTGCACGTACACACCTACTAGTATCAATAAAAGTATAAAAAATGATGAAAACAATCAGATTTTCAATGTACCTCACCATATTTATTAGGTACTCCTAATTCATTTAATTCTTTGAATTCCTGTATGGCCCCATAATAATAAATTAAAACCCAGTTCCTCAAGGTTAGGCATCTATAATTTCATATTTGTGGTCCGGTTTACTTAATTCATGTATATACTTTTATCATTTTTAATCAAGGATGAAAGTTAATTAGCTCAATTGGTATTAATGTCTGGTAGGTTAGAATCCACACTGGGAAATCAAAATCCACTGATTCATGGAAAATGTCTAAATTGTATTAGTTTTATATAAGTGTTGTTTTCGGTAAAAGTCAAAATTTAGAGGTGGACTGGTTCTATTGAGTTGCTTGATATGTTTTAATTAATTAGTTCTTTTGAAGAAACCCATGTGATACCAACTACCGAGTCTAGGTTAGGTTCTACAGGGAACCCAAGTTTTGACCGTACCCAGTTTTTTGTTTATCAATTAATGGAGTCACTCACTAGCTTGCCATGAAGATGGGCATCATGTTCTTGGATCCTTCATCAATCTCTCTCTCTCTCTCTGTTATTATCTGGTCACCCAACTTCAAGCGGTTTATGGTCTTCATTGAATTAGGCCTGGTCCTTGTTCTTCAGATTTCTTAATTTGTCCTGATCTAAACCGTGTTGGGTATCTTCATTCTTCACCATGTCGGCCAGAAACCAGAAGCTACTCTTTTTTCAGCAATTAATGAATGAGACAAAGAGGGCATCCATTTGTTCTTCTATCCAGCTTGAAAAGATGGCGATGAATAGGAAGTGCCAACACGTTAGGAAGACCAATTGGATAGGGGAAATTTTCTTAGCCAAGTGTTAAGCAAGAACAGTCGTCGATAGATGATTGCTACACTTGGGCATTCCACACGTCTTATGATATTCAACATAATAATAAATAAGTCAGGTGGAAAGCAAGATCCACGAAAGAACTAGTCCCATACAAAGAAATTTGATGTGGGCGCTTCTGAAGTCTGAGGACAGAGTACCCATGCATGGTAGGGTCCAGTGATCATATATAACTTGCCACCTGGCTACCCATAATCGATTTAGTTCCAAACGAAGACACTGGCCTTGCCAAAATCCAGTACAACCAGACGGGTAGCTACCAGCTGGTAGGACCCATCCAATAGTTGGTCGCATACCTCAAACATGTGACATGTGGCAAGTTAGGGCCCCCCAGCTTTAGCCTTCCCATAATAAACTAATTCTGGGAGGCGTAAAAGGAAGATAAATCACTAATAATCACCCAATTAACACTCAAACTGATCCAATGATTTTCAAAATCATTGATCGAACACCTGAAAAATCTTAGGCCACGTACACACCTCTGCTGGGTAGAGCTCGTCGGCCGGCCGGTAGCATGCATGTACCATGAGATGTGCTGATGCAAACGATAAGCACGAGTTGTAGCAACCAGCAAGCAAAACTGCTAGACCAATATTGGATGAACGATCGAATCCTCAGGCTATTTCACTTTCACGTTTGCGCATTTGCTTCCTTTCTGGGCGACTGGGCGTGCTAGCGCACACCAACTTGAAACTCTCGAAGCAAAGATTATTGTAGCACAACTTGAGGGAAGCAGAGTGGCAGACCTGAACAGTAAACTGAGGCAGAAGTGGTAAAGCGAGACAGATCAACTCGACCCAACTCAGCAATTTTTCTGGATCCATCAAATTTGATGCCAGAAGGAAGCTGCACAGATCCCAAAAAAATGGTTGATTTTGGAATCCTTTGGAGCACCAAAACTGATTGTTTCACTTCCACTACTTCTGTGTGTTCTGACCCCCCAAAATCCGCTGTATCCAAACACAGCCAAGAGAACATGGAAACAGGGAAATATGGTTCTGAATTTTAATAGTTTATCAACATTATGTCTATGCAAGTATTTCACAAACTGAATTTGAAATTAAAAGAACAAATGTATATAAGATTTCATGAACAAGCAACTAAAGTACTAATAACCAGTTTCGTAGGCGAGACACAGAGATTATATTAAAGCAAGCTATTCATCAATAACCAACATGATAATATATAATCCCTTGTTCCCATCAATGGATTTATAATTTGTACAAGTTTTTACACTTCAGAAGGTTAAAACAAGAAGAAAAAAAAAAGATAATTAATTAGATTCAGCAAAAGAAAGAACTCATTTTCTATGTCCTTAATCATCATCCAATAAAATTTTGTATCAAAAGAAAGAGAAAGAAACAATTCATTAGCACCCCTCCTCTTTTAATTTCCTCTCCAACCCTAAAAGCCTGCATGGCGAAAACCTCGCCTTACGCTCTGAAATGGTTTCAAGCTTAGGCGACCATGTCTGTTCTTTAGATCCAACCAACTGATCATAGTGTTTCTGCAACTCGAGCGTGCTGCACAGAAAACTGTTACCTGGGCTAGCACACCCTTGTTCTTTACCTTTTAAGATGAGCTTCGTTATGAACTCCGGCACCACCTTGATCAACACCCGCCCATTGGCAGCCTTCACATATTCGAACGGCTGCTGGCCGAAGTTTATGGGTGCAGGTTTAGGACTCGAGCCCAAGGCAGCGAGCGACGCAGCTGATAAGATCTTGCAGGCAAACCGGTCAATTGGGAGAACAAAATACGTCTCGCCTGTCATTAGCTCATCCTCAATTGTCAGTGTAGGTATCGGCTGGCCGATATAGAAGGAGTTCGCATGGCAGACTATTCTGTCGGGGAACTCGAACATAATTTCTCCGGCTAACCGCTTTCCGGTGAGGATTCGGGTGGTTCCTTCCCAGAATACTAGCTTCACCGTTGACTTGGGATTCGAATTGGTGGGATGACAGCAAGGAGAGATTGCATTGCCCATGTTGGATACTGTGTCGACAGATATAGAGATTCAGATTGAGAAGAGTAGTAGAAGTAGTAAGTTCTGTGGGTTGCAAGGGAGGAGACTCGGTTATATACAAAGGAGGATCGATTCTGTTCTAGGTTTTGACTTGGAAAGTCGATCCAGGGTTCATTTCTTGTACTTGTTTTACGGTCGGTGGTCAGCCAAGCCGGCGTTGAACAACTTATTAAGTGGGGTGGCCACAGCTCTCGTTTGGTTTGATTATTAACAAACCAAACGCCACCCTTACATTATTCATTAATTAGAAAAATCTTTTTCAGAAATGGAGCTTTTTTTTAATTTTTTTTTTCATTTTCGTTTTTTTTAATTGTTTTTGTTGGGTTTGTAGGGACTAAATCCAGTGTTTCCTAATATTGACATGCATGAATGAGCTTGAGATGTAATGTTGCATTGACTTTGACCATGCATCAATCCCATGTATCTTGCCTGATCTGAGAGGATGCATGGTTGGACCGTTCAAGATATAGACTTGTGTTTTCATTTTTTTTTATGGTTGACCTTTCTCCTTACGTTATGGGGGACGTATTGTTTGGATGATCATTTATGCTTTTCTTTGTTTTAATGTCAATTTGTTCATGGGTTTACTACATATTTTGAAGAAAAAAAGCTATTCTTATATATTAATTTTGATCATTATAATTAAAAGCGATATACAATTTATAAAAATTAATAACATGAGGAGACAATGGTCGAAAATCCCATGGTTTTTAAAACCGATTCAGAGACCGAACTGGTCAGGGGTCCGGTTATCGGGTCGAACGGTCCGACAGTTCGAATCGAATGATTGGCTCATTCTGACAAAAAAAAGATAAAAAAATAAAAAATGATCAAAACTGTTCAAACGGTTAATTGTCTGATTCAACAGTTTGCTGACTAAAATCAACGATTTTTTTTTTAAATCCAATTTTGAGGAAAAACGATTCCCGATTTTCCCGGTCCAATTTTGAAAACCATGGAAAATCCAAATCATGCAGCCACATTCTCTCTCTCTCTATTAACTTATCAAAATTAATTTGTGAGCTAAATGCTTGGATCTTGTCCCTTGAGCCTCTTGATTCAAAGTTGGGTCAGCTTCGAACCCATCCAAATTAATTAAACAATTGGGAATTCTTGCTCTGATTGTCAAGAAGCTAGCCTTGGACCACACATTTGGGATTGCGTAAATTAAGCTCTAATATACGCCTTATTGCTTCAAAGAAGCACTTGCCTGGACCCTTTAGGCATTTTTTGACAAAGGAGGAAACCGTTATTGGTATACAATGGAAGGTCTAATAGTTTTTAGCTGTTGTTGATAGTAACCTCCATCAGTTTACAGGAAATAGCTACTAGGAAGTACCAATATTTCCATTGCTTATAATTTGTGGAGGAAAGAATTCTGTATAGTCTTCAACAATCATCTAATAAAATAGCCATATATAACTAGCTATGATGAACTTCAATGAAATTTGTAGACAAATTAAAGACCTAATATCCATATTTAAAATACAAATTTATTATCAAAAGTAATTACTTTTCCCTTAAGTATGTATGTATATATACTCGATTAGTAACAAAAAAATATATCTATGATAAATAATTTATAATTTTTTTTCTATGAAATTCTCTTTGCTTTAATTGTGCTTATATAATGGTTTACTCTTAAAATAAACACTTGTGTTGCCTTGAGTACGCATTTTTTCTATGAAATTCTCTATGCTTTAATTGTGCTTATATAATGGTTTACTCTTAAAAATATATCTTGTATTACATTCTTTTCCAATTAAGATAAAAAAGAAGTTTCTTTATATTCTTTGCTTATGTTATTAATAGATTATATAAATGGTTAATTAAATAAGTATAAAAATAAAATGAAAACCAGAACTTTTTTTGGAAAATTGGCTTTGCATGGTAATACAAAAAAAAAAAAAAAAATCATAATTCATCTTTTATAAAACTCTCATTAATAACAAAAGCCATTTTAGAAGTAGTTGGGCAGAAGTTGAACACAGAGAGAACTTCGTAGGCACAAGTCCCCATTGGAGGAATTTTTTTGGCAAAGACTTTGATCCACATTCCCTAATTGTAAGTGAAAAATTAGAAGTGCCCCATATCAGTATTTTCCCTTTAAAAGAAATACAAAGGATCGATGCTCCTATCTCTTTTGTAAAGGAAACAGTAAGCTGCTAATTAGGAGAGAGTGCCTAGTTTATAGCAAATGAATGTAGCCAAATCACCAACCTAAAGCAGAACGATTGGAATTTGAGATCTAAGAAATGATCTCTTGAGTCCACTTGTAGCAAAGGCCAATATACCCTAATTAATTAATTACAGAACTGCTGACTACTTTTGGGTCGATCAATGTTTAATTCCTCAAATCTAAACAGATCATTTCCCTAAGACACACTCTTTAGAATCTTTAGTTCCTAGTATTTTATACATGTAAATTGAATATAAACAACTGAAAGAATAATTCCCTGTTTAGATTTGTTCATGCCTCTCAACTATAAACAAAACAATTTTGTACATGGGAGACACAACTTAGAAGCAGGTTGAAGACCCTCAAATGCCATGTCTGCAAGGGCACAGTGCCCTAACTGTCCAGGTTCAATGAATTTCTTTATTTAAAGGGTTCAAAGAAACCATTATTTCCATGTAAACAACCTATAAAAGGTATACCGAAAGTAGTTTTAACTTGAAATACAAGACCAAAACAGTAGAATTGGCTTTGTTAATTAATGATCAAGATCTTCTGATTTTCTTTAATAAATTAAGAATCCAGTCTCTTTTTCAACATTGAACCTTTGTATCCTACATCAGTGGTATCCTTGTGCTCATATATAGATTCACTAAACCCATACCCTTAAAAATACATTGATACTATTCAAATCAAATCATCAAAATAAATTTATAGTGTATCAGATTGAGGGCAAGCTGTATTAGATGGATCCTAGAGGTTTGGTGCTGGTCTTGCAAAGACCCCATTTTGTATACCGACTCTACCAGTTCCTTATCTCATGTCAATAATGAAAGAAGCCTTCTCTTTATATTCAGATTCGTTTGACCAATAACGGGAAACTTAGCGGGACTTGTTTGGTTCACGGGAGTAGGGGTTTAGAATCGGAATCGGAATGAGTCACTCAATTCCAAATGTTTGATTGAACAGAATTGGAATTTCATTCCCATTCCTTCCCCTTACTTTGGGAATGCAATGAGAATAGACCATTCTAATTTGATTTCAAAGGATTTTAATTCCAATTCTGATTCCGATTCCGATTCCAACCGCAAACCAAACAGACCCTTTGTGTGAGCTTCAACATTTGTGATTGTAAATCCCAAAAGCAACAGCCTCATTTTTTTAGGTTTTGCATTTTGGGAATTAAAGTGTTTTGGCTTTTGATTTTTTATGTTTCTCAAAAACCCTTCTACCAAAATTTCTTAATACTTTTTGCTTTGATTCATTAAGTCATTTTTGTTAGTGTTTTCAAAACCATATTGGACCGGAAAAAACCGAGAACCGGTCCGTTTCACTCCAAAGCCATTCTTTGACCAAAAATCATTCGGTCAAACTGTTGAACCGTCGACTCGGACAACGGTTTGTGGCTGTTTATTTATTTATTTTTTTGTCAGAATGGGCCATTGATTTGGACCAGACGGTCTGACTGTTCCACCTGAGAACTGAACCCCAGAACATTTCCTGTCCGGTTTAGTTTTAAAAACCTTGATTTTTGTATTTCAAAGCTCAAAAGCGAAAGCTTGTAAAAAATAAAAAAGACCTTTATTTTTCCTTCTCAATGATAATGACATGATATATTGAAAAAAAAATTTGTCTTTAAGGCTGCATGTTGTTGCAATACAAATTTCATTTGCATTGATGTATATACATGGGAGTACAAAAGTGCTGAGTATACATTATGATTTACTTTTACTTCATATATATTAATCTTTTTCTTATTTATTGTTCTTTTTCTTTTTTTTTTCTTTTGGTAAGAGTTTCTTTTCTTTTTGGCTCCATAGAACTACACAATGAGTTCGGATCTGCTGATCACAATACATTGTTGGTCACATTTATCAACAATAGGAATATTGTGGCCACTGATTTAATGTTTTTTTTTTCCAGAGACCAAATTTGGGGTAAAATAGAACCGGTTGCATGAACGGTTCCCGGGCCAAACACTCCGATCATCCGAGTCAATGGCGGTTAAAAAACCATGTTAATTATAAACAAAAAGTGTAACCCATCTTCCAATAATTAAACCCATAACCCTAACCTTGATGTAGGAAAGATTCAATCCTAAAGTCTCCACTACAACCAGCAAGTGACTCTACCAACCACCCAATTGGTATCTTGCGTCTTTCTTGTTTCTTTTTTTTTTTTCCTTTTTTGATATTGGACGTTAGAGAGGAAATGGGAGTAGGGCAGAGCAGGTGCACTACCAATAAGTGCAAAACAAACAAAAGTACAAATTTTGTATGAGATAAAAATACATGCAAATCTTAATTATAAACAAAAACAAAACAAAATTAAACCAGGTACAAATTTTGCATCCGGTTAAGATATTCTGCACTGCAACCAAATGCTTTTTGATAAAGTTGAAGCTTGCCTGTTGCCTCATGGTTCAGTTCAAAACCCTTGCCAAGGCATCATGTTTGATGCTTTCTGGACCCTCTAAAAAGCAATTTTTAATTTAACTATGTCTGTTTTGATAATTTTTCAATAAAAAATCAACCATCCTGTACTAACAAAAATAAAAGAAGCAAGAATGAGGGTTCAGTTCAGGGTCAGAATTTTTAGGTCAAAAATACAGTTAGGGTAGGTACAAGTTTAGAATTGATGCCAATTTGCAGGTAGACATTGGTACATAAAATGAAGTATATGACATTTTGAATGTTTATAGTTTTACAATGAAATATATTCAGAAATCTGCAATGAGCCTATCCATACTTTACCAAAAATAAAAAGAGAAATAAGATATCTATTAGGCTGTGGAACCAATAATAATACTCTATACCAGACGGAGCTCACAATCATTCAAACTTTAATGTGACTCCTATGTATGTATTTTATCGAACACTAGCATCGGTAGTA